CATTTATATGCTGCATTTCTCCCAACAAGGGACCCAGAGTGGCTCACAACATTAAAATTCATACAATTTAAAAACACAATAAGTTAAATAGTAAAAGATAAATTAAACAATATATGGTTTAAAATACAATTACAAGAGTAAAATGTTGTGTAATCTTTTATTTTATAACAGCCCATAGTTTTTCATTATCCAGTTTTTCATGATCTGTCAATAACGTTATTATAATTTATAAATCACAAATAAATCTTTGGTATGCTCAAGTAGCCAGAATTTGCGATACATCTCTAGTGCCTTTTCCTTTACTGAATTCAGCTTGTACATCTGGCATTTCATACTCCAGACATGAGAAAAGTCATTGTTATAAAATAAAATGTTGAGCATCACTTAATTTTCATGTTTAATGTATTCTATACTTACTTACATATGAAGGGATGTGGTGGTGCTGCATGTTAAACCGCAATAAGCCTCTGTGCTGCAAGGTCAGAAGACCAGCAGTCGTAAGATCGAATCCACGCCATGGAGTGTGCTCCCGTCGCTTGTCCCAGCTCCCGCCAACCTAGCAGTTCGAAAGCATGTAAAAATGCAAGTAGATAAATACCACCTCAGTGGGAAGGTAACGGCGTTCCATGTCTACTTGCGCTGGGCATGCGGCATGGAAACTGTCTTTGGACACATGCTGGCTCTATGGCTTGGAAATGGGGATGAGCACTGCACCCTAGAGTTGAACAAGACTTACCTTTACCTATACTTAACTGCAGTATTTAGAATATAATTGCCTTGGGAATGGAATGTATATTGGATTTTTCCAGTCTGTGGGCTGTTGTTCTGTCTTGACTTTAGAATTTTGATAAATACACAGTCTCTGTAACTTGAAATAGTTCTATTGATGACTTGTCTATTCCTGGTGATTTATTCCTTCCAACTGCTTTGTCAGCAGCTTTTACTTCCCTTTCCAAAATGTAAGATTCTTCACTCAAGGATTGTTCACTGAATTAATCCCTAATTTTTGCCCCTCTTCTATATACATTGACTACATTGCTTTAAAATTCTCTTTGTTTATTCTAATCAGATATGTTGATCTTAAAACATCCTTAATCTTGCATAAATTTCCATTTTATTCTTCAGTGATATGCTAGAGAATGTTTTTTCCTTTTTTGTTATTTTCTGTTTCTTTGCAATAACATCACAGTTCTTTTTGTCTGTACGTATATTCCAATTTCTGAAAAGTTGCGTTTAAGGTGGTAACTTTGTTTCTGTCACCTTTTACTTTTGCTTCTTGCCTGTCATTAAATATTCGAAGAGCTTTCTCAATCAATTGAGGAATGTGTTTTTTTCTGACTTCTTGTGTTATTCCTTGATAATATGTCTAGTTTCAGTCCACAGTTTTTCTAGTTCATGATCAGTTGAATTTAGAAACTGATGTTCTATCAATTTTTTTTTAAATCTTCAGGGATGTTATTTATATTCTGACCATATGACTGTTTTAGTGTTATTCTTCAGGTTTACTCTAATTTTTGACATTGATTCTTAATGTTCTGCACCCATTTGGTCCTGGTCTTCTCAGTGCACAGCAGAATCCGCTGCTTCCAATTAAATAGCCTATTTCATTTATGTATTGGACATCTGGTGACATCTTTGTATATAGTCATCATCTTGTCTGAAGAACATATATTTGCAATAAACAGACAGCTGACTTCATATAATGCTGAGTTGCTCTTCTGTTTCATTTCTGGCTCCCAAGTAAAAACACCTGGTGACATTTTGTTCTGCTTCATTTTCTATTTTTGCATTCCAGTCACTGATAATTAGCACATTTCTTCCAGGACATTTATATAAAAGTTTTGCATATCTTCTTTAGTGTCTATAGTTGGAGCATAGCCTTGAATTGTGGCTATGTTGACAGGCCTTCCTAGGAATCTGATTTATATTGTTCAATCAGACTTTGCATTATAGTCCCAAACTACTTGTCTTATGTCTTCCTTTATTGTTAAAACTACACTTTCTTCTGGATTTGTAATTTACAGAGTAACACACTTTGTAACAATCTGATTGAAAAATCCTATTCCAGTGAATGTTAGTTTTGTTTTCTTCCCCAATACTGATTAAGCTCCTTCTAACCCGAGAGTCAAATATCTGAGAGCTATTACTTGTTTAATTTTGGTTTGTCTTCCTGCACTATCTCTTATTTTACTTTAGTATGTTTTATCATAGGTTTTAGGGTATAAATACTGTATTCAGAAATGGTCTACCATTGTGATCTTCCATGGAATATTAACAAGAATTAGCTTGAAGTTAACTTCTGAAAGATCCTCTTCCAGTGTCATCTTCTACTAGTGCCCAGTACCCACCCTTCAAGAAATTATCCCCCCATCACCATTATCTTATGCTGATATGACTTAAATTTTGAAGGTGACAGATGCATCTTAGTCTAGTCACTATTATCTTAGTTTTAACTATTGCACTCCTGCTAGGAGTCCAGACTTCTGACAAATTCCACCTTCCTGATACTATTGCTCTCAGCTGTCCTGACACATCCAGTCCTCATCACCACACTAAGGTGTGAACCTAAGAGGAGGATGGAGGTAGTTAATAGTGGGGGTTATGCTGTAGAGTTACCTAGGGTGGAAGTTAGGGTAGAAGAAGGGCTTCATCAAAGTGATCATGTTCTGAGTGAGGATGGGGGAAGCGATCTGTGATCTAAATCTCCTTTGTAGAGTACAGCTTGATTACCCTTTGGTTTACACCAAACATTTTCCTGAACTGAATTTCCCCCCCTAGATAGTAAACTGTATGGATTTTATGTACCAGTTCCCATAGGGTAAGTATGTTAGTCTGTTGTAGCAGAATAAGAAAGCATCATGTACATATTTACCATACCATGAACTTCCACAGACATATAACACTTCAGATGATGATGATGATGATGATGATGTAGTACATGTTGATTGTGGAACTCTGGAAATGAAGTTCTGCTTGTAAGCATTTATCTTTTTAGAAGCACTTTTGGCATATAAATCTGGCCTTCAGACTGGCTGACATCATAATTCTGCTACTGGCAGCAACTTCTAACTGTAGCTATTACACTGTATTTTGTCTTCAGTTGATAATTTTTTTGATTATGCATTATGTTGCTGTTTTGTGCTATCTAGGATTTGTAGGTGGCTTTTTAAGATTTTAAATTTTATTGGCTATCTCAGCCACTTTAGTATATCTTCAGGAATTTTATGTGATAAATCTATCTCAGATTGAATGAAGGTGCCTCCCAGATGAGGGGCTCCTGGTGTGACCAATCAAAAGGCATTATTTATCTAATCCTTTCCTCCTTAACAGCTACTTTTTTGGCAAGGAAAAAGACTGAAGAAGGGGGAGGAACCCCACGATAATTACAAATGAAATGTGTATCTCCTGCAAAACTCTGTGAATGAGGCGAGGCAGTTAGTGGCTAAAGGCACCCTCCTAAAGCTGCAAATTGTCTTGGGCTGGATCGTCTTAAAGAGGGTCATTTTGAGGTACAGTTATTTCATTTTGGGTGATCCCTGTTTCCACATGTAAGGATCCAGTGGACCACACTGCATCTGAAGGACAAATCTCCCTCTGGTTGCACCCCAAGTCCCACATTATCCCCCTGGAGGGAGATTTGGACGTGAGATAGGTTGGATCCTCTATACTCAGATGATAAATCACTTTTCAGAGACCAATTTTAATCCTTTCCTGTATGTCAAAAAGATGTGCTCTTTCTGAATAGACAGCAGGTATGTAGTACTTTCATTCTGCTGCCACTGCTTCTCTTTACATTTTCTCTTGTTCTTCTACATTCAGTCCTTTGTGGCTTTCTGGTCCCTCTCTTTTCCTGCCTCCCTTCCTTTCTTCTCTAGAAGCTGCCCAGGAAAGGTTATACAGCCTGCCTTTTTAGTACAGTACTATTTTACAGGAGCTTTTTTTAACCCTTGCTGGCTCAAGCTTTGAAACACACACCTCTTCAATTGAGGGTAAAATACATTTTAAAAAAGAAAAATGAAGACCAAGGAAAAACATGTTTTAAAAGGCGTGTGTGTGTGTGTGTGGGGGGGGGGAATTAAGAAACCATGACAGAGATTACCCTGGCAGAAATCTTGTCATGTTCTGGTGTGTGTGTGCAGAAATTGTGAAGAGGGGTAAACATCTTTTTAAAATTATTTTATGGTTCCTATTCGGTGCTCAGTAATCCCAAGTTGTAACATTCTGTTTTATGCTCTTTAGGTTTTGTGTAGAGAGCGTTGAATTGTTTTAGCCACTTTAGAATATCTTTAGGAAATTTCAGGGATAACATCCCAAACGGAATGAAGGCGGTGCCTCCCCGAGGACCGGCTCCAAGGGAGAAAGGAGGCTGAGGCGAACGCCTCTTTTTGTCCCTCAAGGTTCTGAGGCCCTTCCTTTCCTCCTTTTCCCTCTCAATTTCACTTTTTTGTTCCCCTTCGTTTCCTCTCAGGCCTGACGAAGGCGCAGGCCCAGTAAAGCAATGGCGGGTGATGTAATAACAATCCAGCCTCAGCAAACACCACCTCCGCATCCCTTCGATCTCCCCGCCTCTTCCCCTCCCCCTCCCCCCACTTCTCCCTTTTCGGCCTCAACATCCGGGCTCTCGTCCCCGCTGCTAAACAGAAAAAGCCAGCAGGAGCGAGGGGGGGAAGAGAGAGAGAGAGATGGGGGTGGTGGTTGCAAAACCTCGGGAGCGCGCATGCGTTCCAGGCTTGGCCAGGTTAGAACGCCAAAGCTCCGGGTTCTGGCGCACGCGCCCGGGTGCGTCAACCGAAAAAAAAAAAGAAGATGCGTCCCTTCGTGCGCGAGAGAGAGTGCGCGCTCTTTTTCTCCCCGCCCCCTTTTCTCTCCCCTTTTCTCTCTCGCGCGCGCACGCGCTCCGTTTCTCCGCTTGGGAGCCGTCGGGCCTCAGGAAGGGAAGGGAGGGAGGGAAGGAGCAGCTTTGGCTGACGTCGCCTTCCTTCTTCCCCCTCCCCAGTCCTCCTCCTCCTCCGCCACCCCGCCCCAACCGCCTCGCGCGCGCAGGGCGGTTCTTCTGCGCGTGCGCGGCCCGCAGTCTCGGTTTGGCTTGCTATTTTTTTTTTTGCCTTGCCTGGCCTGAGGGAATTGAGAGAGAATCGGAGGAGGAGGAGGAGGAGGAGGGGGGGGAGGAAGGGTCTCTGTTCTTGTGGCGTGGGAGGCTGAGCGCGCGAGCGGTGTGTCGGCTTCCAGCAGCTGAGGGGAGCGAAGCGTCAGAGAGGGAAAGGGGGGTGGGGGGGGAGGGCCGAGGCGGCGGCGGCAGCGACGACGCCGAGAGGCAGGCGGGCAGGAGAGATGAGCGCTCGGTTCCCCGCCAGGACCAGCCAGGAGGACCAGCGGCCGCTTCAGCCTTCGTCGTCTCGCCCGTGTGAATGAACTGAGGCAAGGCCGGCCTTGGCTTGGCTTGGCCCGGTCTGGTCTGGCCCGGCCCAGGCCTCCGTACCTCGCTTCGGAGCGCGGAGTTGCAGCCTTCTTTCCCCCTCTGGCCGCGGTAAGTCGATGGCGGGGGTGGTGGTTGGGGGGGTGCTGCTGCTGCTGGGCGGAGGCGGTGGCCTCGGGGACCGAGAAGGAGCGAGCGAACGAGCAAGCAAGCAAGCAAAGGAGGGGAGGGGAGGGGAGGAGGGAAGGAAAGGCCTGGCGAGAGGCCGCCATCGCCGCCTGGTCGGCGGGGCCTGGAAGCAAAGCGAGGCGGAGGAAAAGGGAGAGAGAGAGGAAGGGGGAGGAGGAGGAGATGGGTCATTATAATCCTCGCTGGAGGGGGGGTCCACTGTGTACCCCGCGAACAGCTGGCCTTGGGGAGGGGGATTGTGCAAAACCGGCTTTGGAAATGGGATGTGTCAGTGCTATTGCGCCTCCGGCGGGGTTGTCGCTTTTGCCTCGGCCCGCTTCGTTGGATTTGCCGTTCCTTGCCGTGAACGTGATTTTCTATGTAGTATCGTTCCATTAAATCAGTCGCTGCCTGTGGCCGTTTGGTAGAGTGACAAGGCCGCCTGACAGGTCTCTGCCCCAAGACGCTTGCTGACATCACACAGGTCGAAACTGCGGAGGTAGGGAAGGAAGTTTGAGAGACTGAGGCCTTCCATTCCCTTTGGTGTAGGTTTCTTGACTTTTCTTTCATCCTTTACTGACATTAGAGGAGAGCAGGTGAGCAAAAGGCCTTGAAAGCCCTGCGTTGAGTTCTGACAGTGTTAGTGTCATCATCCACATTCGAGGTTTCCTCTTAAAAGTAATCAGGGTACTATTTCTCCTACTAAAGTATACTTTTAAAAATATTGTGATGTAATCTGGTGTCTTCTATATTCAGGATTAGCCATCTGACAGGCAAGGCTTTAAAACGTTTAGTTTGAGAAAATGCTAATTTGCTTTCAGTAGAACTTTCCTAGTAAGTGTGTTCAGCATTGCAAGCTCAGACACTTCGCAGAGAGATGCTTTAAGGACCTATGTGTAAAAGGTAGCCAAATGGTATTGCCCTTATGCATATGGGGTTTGATTTCTTGGTTCTGATCCTTTGCGTCAACCCAATCCAGTGGTGATGTATCATGATGTCTGCCCCTGGAGGAATGGTAGTGGTGGGTGAAAGGGTTCCTTGCCTGCCAGAATTTATTAATTATGCTTATAAGCACATGTTATCTTCTTGCTGCAAAGCATTCTCCTGTCATTTGCAGAGAAGCATTAATAAATGAGTCTATTTATAAAGCACCCCACCCTGCTGCATAATCCATTTCACTAGGTATATACTTTCAAGTGTGCAATATTTATAAAGCAGTCTGCCTTACTGATTGCTTTCCAGTGTACACAGTTATTGCTGTCTTTCAGGAAAAGAAAGATGTGAGAAAGGGAAATGAAGCAAAACAAAAAGGGGTTATGTAAATGTGTTGCCTCTTGTGAGATTTTGAATAGCTGAAGTGGGTGTGTAACAGTGTATTTCTAAGGGCTGTACCATTGCCCATTGAAATAAGAATGTAATTTAATACGTTTTTCAAGTCTGCAAACTGCTTTTTTACAGTACAATGAATCTGTGGCTATTTATGCTGCGTGCTATTCATGGGCCTGTATCTGTTCCTTGGTAAAATGATCAGGTTCTGTGCTAAGGAAGGATAGATTCTGCAACCTGTATAAATTGTGCAGATAAACCAGATTTATTATATTTGTTTTATATTGAGTCCATTCTGTCTGTGGTGCTGATGACAAGGAGTACTGAAGCCTTTCCCCAGTCAATTAAAATCTTAAATCTCTCACAGTTCTATTTCTTAATGTCTGGCTATGAAGAGTAGTAATTTGCCTTTTTTGAAGAAAGAAAGAAAAAGAAAGAAAGAAAGAGAAAGAAAGAAAGAAAGAAAGAAAGAAAGAAAGAAAGAAAGAAAAGAGGAGTGATTTAGTTCTGAGTTTTGAACACAATAGTCTTATACATCTATATTACACAGCTGCTACAGAGATTTATATAACTCTGTATAATAGAATGTATTTTGAAAACAGTTCATGTTTGTGATGGACAACAGCAAGTTGCAACAGTATTTCCATGGGGTAATTTTGTTTTCCTTATTATTATGGGCTAGTTTAAGAATTCACATGGAATTTTGTGGCTTATTGATGATTCACTTTACAAAGGTTAATAATGGCAGGTTAGTTTTGTAAAAATAGGTGTGTAATTGGGAACACAGTGAACATCTGGGATTATTATATTTTAGCCTTTAGTAGAGACATTAACTTTGTACAGTTGGGATTTATTCATCAGATGTAAACTTTTGTTTTTGAAAGGATTTCTTATAGTAGGAATCCAAATGTGACCTAGCATATTTTTCCTAGAGTCTGCAGGCCGATTACTGCAGTATCTATGCTGTTAAAGGCGTTGTCAAGTTCCAGGAGTTGAAGTTAAGATTGTAGTTCTCTGGAGTCTTTGGTAACTAGACCTCTGATGGGAGGTTGCAGAGCAAACAGAATGATAGGTCAGTTTTCTTTTCTTTTTCCTTAATAGAGCTGTGAATAGTAAAAGCAGTCAGTTAGAAATCTGATTAGGAAAAAACAAGGAATATATAAGGATACAGTGAAGCACGTAATGCTTCCCCTGGGACTCTGCTTTCTTTCAAAAGCCACATGGGTGGAATATTTATACATACAGATGACAGCCAGAAACTAATTCTAAACATGGCAAAATAGTTTAAGATCTCAACTCTTCTACCATTTCCACCCACTAGAGCCAGGCTTATTCAGAATTGCATGTGGATTGCTTCTTACACTTAAGGATTTTGTGCTTTTTTCTTTTCACATGATGTTCTGAAGAAATTATAGCCCTGGAATTGAGTATAGCTTCAACCATGATGATAAATATGCAAATTCTGCACTCTGTGCCCTTTCTAATGTTAAACAGACCTTTGCATATTTAGTCTGAAGATCTAGTGTTCAGCTTTCCCATGGTTGAAAACCCTGACAAGGCATTTCAGGTATTAACAGATTTTGTATAGTATAAGCAGTATTTATTAATTATTTCACTAGTCCACCCATGTCACACACAGTCTTTAGCAAAATAGTCAAAGCCATACTCTGCCAGAACAGAAATATAATAATGTTTTACCAAAAGTGCAATATTGTCATTGTATTTTGAACAAATAACATGAAGAAGGTGAATCCCTCTAAAGGTCAAAATTGCATGTTCCCTGATGTGGAAAGTACCAGGCCATTAACAAATATGTATTGGGAGTACTGCAGAAGAATAGTTATTCTTCAGTCATCTCTGGGACAGGAATTGCTGGAACTCCCAGTCTTCACTTTTGTCTTCTCTTAAAGCAGGAGAACAGTGACTTCCAACCTTGGGTAACTTAGGTGTTCTTGGTCTGCAAATCCCAGAAACTCTGCCCAGGACAGTTGGTGATGAAGGCTTCTGGGAATTACAGTCCGAGAACACCTAGGTTACCCAAGGCTGGGAACCACTGCAGTAGAAGCCTTAACAGTAATAGAGATATGTAATATCCCTAAATCAAAACAGCAAAATTAAATTGTAGTGTCTTTGTATGGCAGTGTTTTGGTGTTAGGATATATCATTTACCTGTAGGAAAATTCTTTTATTAGTCCTTGGCATTTTCCATTACTGTTCAGTAGATAGCATAGGAATACCCTAATACTTCAATACTTTTGAAGAGTTTCTGCCATTAGACAGTGCCAGACTAGATTCATCAATGATTTGATCTTGGCATGTAGTCATGTTAATATGATATAGCCCCAGTAATTACACATTTAAAGGTTAAATACATCAATATAAAAAGTTGATCTTAATATGTGCTTTGTGCTGGTTTTGATGGGATATACTAAGAATGTGTTCTTTCATTTTTTTTAAGATTGGAACTCCCAGAATTCTCCAAGAATTACAGAGGCAGAATTCTGGGAGTTGCAGTCCACAAACACAAATCTACAGACCTCTGAATTTTGCCTTACCAAAAGGGCTTTTGAGTTATTTGAATAAATAAATAATTTGCCTTGGATGCTGCCATGCTCCCACCATTGGCTGTTTCATTGACCTTCATTCTTCTTTTCTTCTGGTGCCTACTGGCAAAGCAGAGTTAGAACTCCAGCTATTGCCTTATGTTGTTTTTCAGCGTCTCCAATGCTTACTAGGAGTTTAAGCTCTGTGGATGGCACCTTCAATAGAGTCTAATGTGCAGTGAGGCTATTTCTTGTAGCACCTCCACACCCAGGAATGCCTCCCATCGGTCAGCCGTCCACCCCTGCCATCAGCAATATTTCCTCAGTGTGAAGGATGATGGGAGTCACAATCTTGCTGCCCATTAGCTTCTGAAGGAAGTGGCTCCTTAAGAACTGTAACTTCTAAGAAGCACGGTGGCAGCTTTCTTGATTTTTAAAATTAATAGAGAAGGCAGCCAGTTTGGTGGGAGTGCAGTATCATCCAAGATAAATAACCCAAAAGGCATTCTTGTGTGGGAGGGGGTGCAATCCAGAAGTTTTGTTTTTGTGGGATGCAGCTGTCAAAATTCTGCTTGGGGAATTCTGGGATCCAAGCATATCCAGGTTCAGATCTCCACTTAGACCTTAGGGTTAGTGTCTTTGGATCATTTTCTGTCCATTTAAGTTATAATGCAAAACCAAGGTCTAGTGTAGCATGAATGAGCCTAGCTGTTTCCTTGGGGGGTGTGTGTTCCCCTTCGTCTCCAGGTAGTAGGTGCTGTTCTTGTCCCTTAACCTTAGCTTGTGTCATCTAGACTGGAGATCACGGTTTAGCAGCTATTTTGTGCTGTTGAATTGTTTCTGATTTATGGTGACACTATGAATAATAAATGCTCTATGTGGTGTGCACACACACAAACATGACTAATGACCTCCAAAAGATCCTGCCTTTAATATTACTGCTCAGGTCTTGCAAACTAGAGGCCTTGGTTTTCTTTATTGAGTTGTTCAATGTCATTTAAGGTCTTCTTTTCCTGCTGCCTTTAACTTTTCATAGAATTGTTGTAGTTATCCCTATTGTAGCAGGGTTGTAAAC